ACGCTGGCGTTTTTATGTAGTGTCCTAAAAGGACAGGTGGAAAATTTATCATTTTTTGACCTGCAACAAGCTTGCCTATTCTTTGCCTAATTTCCTAGGGACATAAAGCACGCAAGGTTGACAGGCAGCATATTCTGCCATGCCTCTGTTCACAGCAGTCAATCAACAGTAGTCAATCTATGGCAATCTCAAAGCTGACTACTGTAATACACCTTAATGCTTGAAGTAGAAGCCTCGTTCACCTAATCATATGATAACTTATGTAGGAAGGGATCTCTGGAAGTCAGCTAGTTCAACCTCCTGCTCAAAGCAGGACTAACTTCAAAACTAGATCAGGCTGCACAGGCCTCGTCCAGGCAACTTCTGACCGCTTCCAAGAACGGAGATTCCACCACCTCCACAGGCTCCGGCCCAGCACTTAACCATCCTCTTTGTGAGAGATTGCGTTCTTTGTTACAGTAAGAGGAAATTCTGACTGGAGACACATGAATGCTGCCGCCAAGAAGAGTTTTCCTCTACCTTCTTTACACCTCCCTCTGGTAGGAAAACAGTACTGCCAGATGCCTGCCTTCAGCCTTCTCCTTCCCAGGCCAAACAAACCCAGCCTTCTCATCCTCTCCTCACACACCATGTGCTCCAGCTCCCTGACCATCTTGGTGGCCTCTACTGGACTCATGCCAGTTTGTTATCGCTCTCTTTCACTGGCAGCCCATAGCAGGACACAGGACTAGCTGTGACCAAGCAGAGAGAATAACCACTTCCCTCCACCTGCCAGCTCTGCCCTTATTAGTGTAGCCCAATGTACAGCTGGCCTTCACTGCTGCAAGGGCGTACTGCTGACTCACATTCATCTTGGTGATCACCAGGCCCTCAGGCTCTTTTCTGAAGGGTTGCTCCACGGGCAGTCTCTCCTCAGCCAGTACTGATGTATGGAGTTGTTATCTCCCAGGGAGAAAGATTCTGCTTTTTGCATTGCTAAACTTCATGAGATCTCTCTTGGCCCATTCCTCCAGCTTGTCAAGGTCCCTCTGAATGATAGCCCTGTCCCTCCACCATATAATCCACTCCATCCTTATTGGTGTCAGACTTGATGGCAATGCATTCACCTCATCACCTGGGTCATCAAGGATGACGTTACATAGCATCAGCCCAAGTACTGACCCCTGAGGAACACCACCAGTTAGATTTTGAATGACTGACCACTACCCTTTGAGCCCAACAGGTCAGCCGGTTTTGCCACCACCTTGTGCCCACCTACTCAGTCCCAATCTCCCCACTGTGGCTACAAGAAAGGGAGATAACGACAAAATCTTGGTAAACTCAAGGTAAACGACATCCATTGATCTCCCCTTGTCTCCAGGACAGTCATTTCCTCAAAGAACACAATCAAGTTGGACAAGCACAGCTCGCCCTTGGTAAGCCTGTCCTGGCTGTTCCCAGTCACTACATTGTCCCTCACATGCCTGGAAATGGCTTCCATGATCACTGGCTTTATAATCTCCCCATGACCTGCAGACAGGCTAACTGGCTTGTAGCTCCTCAGATCCTAATTCTTCCCCTTCTTGAAAATGGTTACAACATTAGCCTTTTTCCAGTCATCACAAACATTCCTCAGTCATCACAACCTTTCAGAGACGATAGAGAGAAGCCTTTCAAATACATCAGCCAGCTCCCTCACCACCTTCAGACACAGAAGTCTATAGGACTGAACAGAGCGTATGTTCGGTTTCCTTAAGCAGTCACTGTCTTGAGCCTCTTCTACCACAGGCACCACCTCTCACCCCAAAGCTCTGCTACTACATACAGAGACTGAGTAAGGAAGATTTGCATGAAACTATGGTCTTATCCCACTCTTCAGCGCTGAACGTGGATTGTTTTTTCTATTAATTCAAAACTAATTATTGTGAATGTCCAGTTATAAGAACTTAGTAAATGCCCAATATCTGCTAGCAGTATTGCAATCATTTCAGCAATCTAACCACAGAGAGTCAGAACTACTAACTTGTTAGGAGCATCAAAGCATCACATTCTTCTCTACTTATACCAAATAAAGACAAAAATTACTGTAAGCATCTATCTGAGACTTCAGAACAACTTGTTTCACACATGGTAGCTAAGTCATGTTATTTTCACTCCTGTGCAAAAATCCTTTAATTGCTTGCAGCCCAAATAAAAAAAAACAGGGGGAATACTTTTATGTAATGAGAAAGTCAACAACTTCTTTACTTTTGCAGCTTTGGACCGCTGTAAAAAGTGATGAGTATTCCCCATTTTTTAATATACGCTGTTATTTGGATCACGCTTACAAAAGTTGTAATTTGTACCCTACTGTCTGTCCTCCGAATTGTAAGGAAACGTTCATTTCTTTATCTTTTCCACACTAAATTACCATTGAAATAAAAGTTACCTCTGGCAGATGTACCTTAGTTTGATATTTCTTCTTAGCTTTAAAAAAGGAGAAAGAAAAATTTCTATTGATGATGGACCTTCTGGAACGTAGCCATTAATTCACAGTGCTATTCTAAGAATAAGAACCAAAAGCAGGATCCCAGAGGAACTTATCTGTAATACTTACATGCGCAGCTAAATATACAATCAAAAACTTTGCAGGATAAGGCTTAAAACGTCCTTATAATCAAAGATAAACTAAAAGGGGAAACAGACAAACTATTTTCTTTGGTAAAAGAAATAAAATAAATAGCATAAGTAGTAAAAATATTGCTATAGTGAAGTTAAGAGAGTTTCTTCTGGCTTTTACAACCTGATGCCAAAGTCTCATAATGTCTTTAAGCCAGCATAAACTGGTACGCTAGCATGGCTGGAAGGTGCAGTCCTAGTCTCTCGTCAGTGAGCAAAAACTTAGAATAAGAGTTGACTAGATTTTTTTTTAAGCCAACTCTAACCCCAGTTCACTGCATAGCCTCGCTATTTTTTCTGGCGTGTGTTGGAACATATGACAAAACAACACAGAAGTACCAGCAAGTAACCAGGGCACAACAGAACCAGTCACTTCTTTTGGTAGGAGACCTGAGGCTTGCTGATTTATAGAGCACTTATGAAACTACAGCCTTAGGTGCCACAACTAACTCAAATCCGGTTTTTCAGTGTTATTATCTCTTTGGCAACTGAAACTATAGCCAAAATAATCTCTTGCAGCAAAAATACATAATAAAAGCATAACAGCAGCCATACTAAAGCAGACAGAAGTTCCACCTGGCCTGCTATCTATAGGGACCCACATCCCCTTGTCCCAGAAGATCAGTAGTATACTGGCAACAAGCTTGGCTCAGCTCCATCTGGTATTCCCAGATCTGGGCTCTGGTTGTCAGAGCAGCAATTAAACCACAGCGCAAAACAAAGGTAAAGAACAAAGCAAGGGCGCTCTAAAACAAAGAAAAAAGTAAAACGCCCAAAAAGGAATAAGACAGACTGATTTATAATGAATACGATGAGGATATGAAGCTGAAGGTAAGTTCACCGGTCTACAACATCACATACAATTCAGTATCATAAAGTTGATTATAAAACTTGTCTGTGTCTGTAAATCAACATGTTGATGAACTCCACTTCTACTGAAATATATACAAAAATACACAGCTATGCAAGAACCTTCCCTTCTACACTATGGCTACTTAGTTTTCTGGAAAACATGTGACAGAGGTCCTTCACCAAAAGGCTTTTGGAAAGTGAATTAGACTGCACCATCTGAATCCCCTTATTCACATTTGCTGAGGCTGGCCTTCCCTTTAACAAATCATATTAATCCATCTGACCGTTTCTAGTCTTTATTATAATTTGTATTAATTTTCCTGGTAAAATTGAAGCCAATCTGTGGGTCTTCCCAGGAAACCTTTGTAAAAACTGGTATCATACCTACCACTGTTTATCATTTGGCTGTTGCACCTCTGAGTTCCTTCAGAGCACTAGCATGAAGATCTTAAGGGAATGTTACCTGGCCCTTGCTGCTTGTTACTTTTCATTGTGTAGTTCTTCTCTACCTTTCCTAATAAACATCTCCAGGTCCAAGTTTCCAAAATCACCTATTCAAGTACCCAATGCAAAGATGCCTCCCATCAGTTTGTGCAAGTTAGGACTTGCACAGGTGCTGCAGGTCCTTCACACTTTTGGAAACCACCACCACACTAACGGTGGGACAGATAAGACCAGGTGCCACAACTCGGCCGAAGCACATGTAAGAAGCTTCCCAAAGTGCTCAACAAGGGGCAAGCCCAGGAAGGCACGGACCCCCAAACGTGGGGGTGGCAGCCATGGCCACATGAGATAGGACACCCTGATCGCCAGGCTCCTCTTCCCAGTCTCCCACCTTCCAACACCAACACAGCAAGGTGTGCAGAGCCGTGCACGGGCCCTTTTAAGACATGAATGACTTCATGGGGACAGTCCAACCTCAGGGGCTGTGACTTCCCAGGAAGGTTAGCAGTCAAGCTAACGGCACCCACCCCTTTCCAGGGCTGGGAAGGGGGTAGAGGAAACTGGTCAACTTCACACACACACCCTCCTCCTCTTAGGGCAGGAAAAGTAGGGAGGATCTCATTACTGTCCAACTTTTTCCAGAACAGGAGCTGCAGGGGGGAAAAAAATCAGGAAAGTTACAGTAGTAACTTTCTCCAGGGCAGGAGAAAGGGGGGAGGGATTAGGCCAGTTACAGCCCCCCTATTCTCGGGGCAGGAGAAGGGGAGGAGAGAGGGATCAGGCCTGTTTGTTAGAGCCCCTCTTTCCCCAGTGCGGGACGATCAGGTCAGTTACATCTTCCCCTCTCCTGGGGCTAGAGAAACCAGAGGAATCAGCCAGATACAGGCTCCTTCCCGCGGCACAAGAAAGCGGGGGGGAGGGGGGATCAGGCCAGTGTGTCCCCCGCTTCCCGGGGCAGGAGACACAAGGGCCGGGGAGGGAGGGAGGCTCAGGCCAGTTACCGCCCCCCGCCCTGCTCCGTAACCCCTCCGCGGACCAAACCGTCACCCCTTCCCCTCCGTACTCACAGGAACCCGTTCCTCCCGCTCCTCCTCCTC